CACACACTGCACTCATACACACACACCGCATTCATACAAACACACTGCATTATATACACACACACACACACTGCATTCATACACACACACTGCATTCATACACACACACTGCACTCATACACACACACACACCGCATTCATTCAAACACACTGCATTATACACACACACACACACACACAGCATTCATTATTTACACACACTGTAAATAAATATTCAATTAATATAATTTTTTTGGGATATAATTTTATTTAGAAATTTACCAGTAGCTGCTGCATTTCCCACCCTAGTCTTATACTCGAGTCAATAAGTTTTCCCAGTTTTTGGGGGTAAAATTAGGGGTCTCAACTTATATTCGGGTTGACTTATACTCGAGTATATACGGGTAAGTACTTAGAATTAAATTATCAACCCATACTTCAACTAACAAATTAGCTTAGCTACACATTCTTCTTATGTTTTATAATTAACTCTAATTAGACACTTTGTGTTTAAGTTCTAAAATGCAAACGTTCTGTCAGCAGTAAGAGTATATTCTGCTTGAAAAACCAGCAGTAGGGATCCAGGAGCTTCTACACTGACGTCAAAAAGTAATATATAAAATATACTCAGATGAATAAACAGAGTGTGTGGCAAGGTTATCAGTCCAAAAAGATACAGCTCATTGGTAGAGATAGCCACTGCCTGTATAATTTACTTCCATACACAATAAGAGTATAAAAGAGAACTTGGCAAAATCCTCCTCGGATATATATATATTGCCAACATACATATAGTGATAAATAATAATAAGCAAGCACCAGTATATGGAACTGGCTGCTAAGAAAAATAATTATAGTGTAGCCGGAGAGTAACTAAAAGGGTTAAAACCCAATTTATTAAAAGTACAAAAATATACAAAAATATATGAAAATGGTAATAAAATTCTGTTCACATATTGTGCAATAGATAGTAGAAGGTAAAAAATGCACTAAGACCTTAGATTCCGGCACGGATGGATCTGGATGCTGATTTCAAGTATAGTAGCTGAATGCTGTAACCGGTGAGGCCGGTTTGCGTGTCACAGTGCGTTCCACCTCGAGCCTCACTTCGGGGGGAACTGTACTGCTCGTCAGATCGTGCCGTGGAGAAGGCTGAGCTTCACACTAATCGCCGGACTGCTGTGCTGAAACCTCTTCTTACTATCACTGTGTGAACGTTTACACTTGTCTGACGCGTTTCGTAGGGAGATAGCCCTACTTCCTCAGAGACATCTGGGTTCCACTCCTTCTGGGAGTGCTTTTAAACCTCTCCGGTGATAATTGATTAATTAACCAATTCATTACAATATATTTGTTGGTCAAAATTAGTATGTATATATTACATCGGAAAGGAAACAACAAAATCCATACTCATCACAATAAAATTCATATTCATCACATAACATTCTGAATTAATAATATAATAAACATTGGGTAAGTAATAAAAGTATATGAAACGAATAAAAAATAAAATAAAAAATAAAAAATAAAAAAATATGTATAAATTATATTTACACACAATGTATAATCATAGACTTAATCTTTTGCAGTCATAGCAGACAATAGCATTAATTATGATTCTGTATATTGTGTAATTAATCGAAACAATATAGTTATCAACAGACAAACTTGATTCATTACTTGTTGATTCAATTACAGTATAACTATTATTGTTATTACATATGTTCTTTATTGTTTACCTCCTAAAAGTCATTATGTGCAATTGGGGATACTAAACATTGTATCCCTATCATATTAGGAGTGGCAATTGCATACAATTTAACTATTACAAACAATATGGTTAACAGTTGCCATTCCCTAAACTTTTGATTGCTTAAATTAAAGGAGAGAAAAGAAAAGAAAAGAGAAGTTTCTTTAAGTTCGATCCTGCAACGAGACAGAGACATTAGTGCACAGAACAAGAATATATCGCGGATTGTTTTAAAACGTTATTAGATTTTATTATATTCAGTTTGGATTATTCTTGGACATAATTACTTATGCTGAGAGGGGAATTATTTATACTAAAAATATCTTTGCAGGTCTTACAATTTATGCAAATAAGATATATGCAAATAAAATATATACATATAAAATATATTATATACTTAGAGAGGTGGATATATCAGATGGAAACAGATATAGATTGAGATACAAGACTAAAAAAGTTCGATTAAAACAGAAAAAGTTCGATTAAAACAGAAAGAGAGCGCAAGTATATTATACTAAGGAAAACTCTATATAATAAAAAGATCAATACAAAAAGGAGAGATAAAAGGTGATATGGGGCTAAAAATAGTCCTAAAAAGTCTCATAAAAAAGCATTTAATTCAAAATCTATATTCAGACCGTTGGGGGCTAGAGTATCAAGAAAAAATATCCATTTAGTTTCAGCTTGATCTAAATTGATATCTATGCTGCCTCCTCTCCAGTGTACATTCACTTTTTCTATTGCCATAAATGTCAGGCCTGTTGGATCTGCATTATGTATCTCCTTAAAATGCTTTGATAAATTGTGAGTTAATAAACCTTTCTTCACATTCCGAATGTGTTCTGCAATCCTAGTTTTTAGAGGTCTTTTGGTCCGTCCCACATAATGTTTTTGGCAGGGACATGTAATAAGGTATATCACTCCTACAGTATTGCAGTTCATTTCTGTGTTAATTCTATATTCTTTCTGGTCATTGGATGAGATAAATCCAGTGCTTTTTATTTTTGCTTTAGGATTATTCCGACATCCGATACACTTCTGACATCTTGTAAAACATTTTTGATTTTCTGGTGTTTTCTTAGTGTTTTCGGATTTGATAGTAGGAGCCAACATCAACTTAAGATTAGGGGCTCTTGTGAATATCATTTTGGGCTTATCTTCCATAAATTGTGATATAGTGGAATCACTTGTTAGTATGCCCCAATGTTTCCTAAGTATTTTTTGTATCACCTGTGATTGATTGCTATATTTCGTGATAAAAGCTGGGGTATTGTTGTTGGATTTATCTACCTTGATCTTGTTGCAAAGTGTTTCTTCTCGTGGTACCTTAAGAGTTTTTTCTATAGCTTCCCCCAATAAATCTATGGGGTATCCCTTCGTAATGAATCTTTCTTTCATCTCCTCCATCTGTACTTTACATATTTCAAATTCCGAACAATTCCGTCTGATTCTTCTAAATTGATTTTGAGGTATACTTCTCAGCCATATGGGTCTGTGGTGGCTGTTATAGGGAATGAAGCTGTTACAGTCAACATTCTTTTTGAAGGTCTTGGTTTGTATTTTATCTTCTTCTGTATATATATCGAGATCAAGAAACTCCACATGTTCTCTGGACTGGGTGAAGGTAAACTTAAGATGGTATGGATTGTTATTCAGGTAGATCTTGAATTCTTCCAAAGAGTCAAGATCCCCTTTCCATATAAAAATACAGTCATCGATGTATCTCCGCCATAGGGACAGTTTTGCGCCAAAAGGGCAATGGTCCCATATAAACTCGTCCTCCCATTTGCCCATAAAGAGATTGGCATAGCTTGGCGCAAAACGTGTCCCCATGGCGGTACCTTCTATTTGCAAATAATAGTTACCTTCAGCCCAGAAATAATTGTGTGTCAGAATGAAGGCTATACATGCCACAAGAAAATCTATTTGGTCATTCTTCAAATCAGAATATGTGGCCAGAGAATATTGGATGGCTTCACAGCCTTGCAAATGCTCAATAACGGTATATAATGATGTAACGTCAGCTGTAACTAGAATCATATCTTTTTCCCATTTTAGATCTGAAAGTATATTAAGGATTTGAGTAGAATCTTTCAGGTATGATTTCAGACAAACCACTAAATTCTGCAAATATTGGTCAACATATTCTGACAAATTGGCTGTTAGGGATCCAATCCCAGAGACGATCGGTCTTCCTGGCGGATTCTGTAATGTTTTATGTATCTTAGGTAAGTGATAGAATACCGGAATTCTTGGGAATCTCACCCCTAAGTATTTGAATTCTCTCTCGTTTATAATTCCTCTTTCTTTGCCAAAATCAAGTATTTCTTTGAGTTTATCCATATATTCAGAGGTTGGATCCTTATCTAGTAATTGGTATGTGTCAATGTCTCCTAATAATCTAAGATTCTCTTCTATATAGTTCTTGGTATTGAGGATAACCACCCCACCTCCTTTGTCTGCCGGTTTGATGGTAATGTCCTCCAATTTCATAAGTTCTTTAAGGCTCTTTCTTTCTCTTTTACTTAAATTGTCCTTCTTCATATTGTTCTTTAGTTTTGTCCTAAAATCCCTTTCAACCATTTTTTCAAAGGTCCTGATGCAGTCATTTTTCACATATTGGGGATAAAATGTAGATCTAGGATGTAGTTCCGTCTGTGTGTACCTCTGTTCTCTTTCCTGTGGTATTATCTCTTTTTCAGTAAAGAATTTCTTAACACAGATTTTCCGTATAAACTTATGTAAATCAATGAAAGCATCAAAAGTTGAATTCTTGGCAACCGGTGCAAATTTTAAACCTTTCTTAAGTAGTGACAGTTCATCTATGTTTAGGATTCTATCGGATAAGTTAAAAATATTTATTTCCTCCTTTTCTGTATTAACTGATCTTCTTCTTCTGTTCCTTCCTCTATGTCTCTTAGTGTTCGCTTTCTTCTTATTTCTGGTGACTTGAAGTCTTCTATCGAGAATCTTCTGGGGGGTATCCTCCCCCTTTTCTCTAAAAAATCATTCACTGTAGTTGTATTCAGTTGTAAATCCTCAGTGGATCTACGTGGCAAACCTCCAGACGGTATCTCCTGTAATCGATTTCTTCTTGGCTCTGGAGACTTAGTACCATAATCATTTCCGTCTGTAGTTGAACGATGTTGTCTTCGGTTATGGAGAGTTTCCACAGTGCGTTTTTCTTTATTATGTGATGTTGGGGGATTCTGAGATTTTTCTTTATTCTGATGACTTCTATATTCAACATTCCTCTGTATCCTTTGTTGCTGGTATCTGTCATTCCTATTGTCATTTCTTTTTGGGTCTACATAACTATTATGTGGATAGTTCCGTGGATATGTCCTCATCGGGGATTGATAGATTGTAGGAGCATCTCTATATATCTTGTGATGATACTGTGATCTTAGCTTAGATCTATTGTTATCCTGGTTTGGAGAATATTGTCTGAACCTTGAATCTTTTTTCCAATTTCTCTGTGTCTGTGTTTTGTAGTCTGCCTGATCTCTCAAAATTTTCTTTCTCTTTACTTCTCTAATGCTTTCTTCCATATCCTTTATCCTTTTTTCCATTTTTTCCAAGAGTCCCACAAAATCTCCACTCTCCACTAGGGGTCGGATTTGATTCTTAAGTTCAGAAATTTCTTTGTCTAACTTCTCTAGGTCTTTCTTTTTTTCATTAATTAGAAATACCATCAATAGTAGAGATCCTTTATCGAGGAGTTGGTCCCATTTCTTCAATGTGATTGGATCATGACGTTTGTATGCCAATCTCTTAAACAATCTCAGACCTCTAGGGATAATATTATTGTTGACATAAAAGTCCAATGTTGCTATATCCCACCATACATGTACTTCCTTTTCCATAGTTTTGCTTAGTGAATAGATCATTGTTTTTACATCATTCTGTGGTTGTTGTGTTGCAGGGGTAAAAGTTTCATTTAGTTGGTCATCCCCTTTAGAAGACCAAGTATCTAAAAAATGTTTCCTATCCATTCTAACAGAATCTATATTCCTATTAAGTGTCATGGTCTATTTCTACAACCTCTATAGGTGAAATTAATATGAAAATGGTATTGAGGGTATTTCACATGTAAAAAATACAGAGAAAAAACGAGGGAAAAATAAACCTAAAAAGAAGCTCAAAAACTGGATAAAATAGGAATCCACCAAAAACCTATTAAAACAATAGTAAGAGTATATTCTGCTTGAAAAACCAGCAGTAGGGATCCAGGAGCTTCTACACTGACGTCAAAAAGTAATATATAAAATATACTCAGATGAATAAACAGAGTGTGTGGCAAGGTTATCAGTCCAAAAAGATACAGCTCATTGGTAGAGATAGCCACTGCCTGTATAATTTACTTCCATACACAATAAGAGTATAAAAGAGAACTTGGCAAAATCCTCCTCGGATATATATATATTGCCAACATACATATAGTGATAAATAATAATAAGCAAGCACCAGTATATGGAACTGGCTGCTAAGAAAAATAATTATAGTGTAGCCGGAGAGTAACTAAAAGGGTTAAAACCCAATTTATTAAAAGTACAAAAATATACAAAAATATATGAAAATGGTAATAAAATTCTGTTCACATATTGTGCAATAGATAGTAGAAGGTAAAAAATGCACTAAGACCTTAGATTCCGGCACGGATGGATCTGGATGCTGATTTCAAGTATAGTAGCTGAATGCTGTAACCGGTGAGGCCGGTTTGCGTGTCACAGTGCGTTCCACCTCGAGCCTCACTTCGGGGGGAACTGTACTGCTCGTCAGATCGTGCCGTGGAGAAGGCTGAGCTTCACACTAATCGCCGGACTGCTGTGCTGAAACCTCTTCTTACTATCGCTGTGTGAACGTTTACACTTGTCTGACGCGTTTCGTAGGGAGATAGCCCTACTTCCTCAGAGACATCTGGGTTCCACTCCTTCTGGGAGTGCTTTTAAACCTCTCCGGTGATAATTGATTAATTAACCAATTCATTACAATATATTTGTTGGTCAAAATTAGTATGTATATATTACATCGGAAAGGAAACAACAAAATCCATATTCATCACAATAAAATTCATATTCATCACATAACATTCTGAATTAATAATATAATAAACATTGGGTAAGTAATAAAAGTATATGAAACGAATAAAAAATAAAATAAAAAATAAAAATAAAAAAATATGTATAAATTATATTTACACACAATGTATAATCATAGACTTAATCTTTTGCAGTCATAGCAGACAATAGCATTAATTATGATTCTGTATATTGTGTAATTAATCGAAACAATATAGTTATCAACAGACAAACTTGATTCATTACTTGTTGATTCAATTACAGTATAACTATTATTGTTATTACATATGTTCTTTATTGTTTACCTCCTAAAAGTCATTATGTGCAATTGGGGATACTAAACATTGTATCCCTATCATATTAGGAGTGGCAATTGCATACAATTTAACTATTACAAACAATATGGTTAACAGTTGCCATTCCCTAAACTTTTGATTGCTTAAATTAAAGGAGAGAAAAGAAAAGAAAAGAGAAGTTTCTTTAAGTTCGATCCTGCAACGAGACAGAGACATTAGTGCACAGAACAAGAATATATCGCGGATTGTTTTAAAACGTTATTAGATTTTATTATATTCAGTTTGGATTATTCTTGGACATAATTACTTATGCTGAGAGGGGAATTATTTATACTAAAAATATCTTTGCAGGTCTTACAATTTATGCAAATAAGATATATGCAAATAAAATATATACATATAAAATATATTATATACTTAGAGAGGTGGATATATCAGATGGAAACAGATATAGATTGAGATACAAGACTAAAAAAGTTCGATTAAAACAGAAAAAGTTCGATTAAAACAGAAAGAGAGCGCAAGTATATTATACTAAGGAAAACTCTATATAATAAAAAGATCAATACAAAAAAAAAAAAAAAAAGGAGAGATAAAAGGTGATATGGGGCTAAAAATAGTCCTAAAAAGTCTCATAAAAAAGCATTTAATTCAAAATCTATATTCAGACCGTTGGGGGCTAGAGTATCAAGAAAAAATATCCATTTAGTTTCAGCTTGATCTAAATTGATATCTATGCTGCCTCCTCTCCAGTGTACATTCACTTTTTCTATTGCCATAAATGTCAGGCCTGTTGGATCTGCATTATGTATCTCCTTAAAATGCTTTGATAAATTGTGAGTTAATAAACCTTTCTTCACATTCCGAATGTGTTCTGCAATCCTAGTTTTTAGAGGTCTTTTGGTCCGTCCCACATAATGTTTTTGGCAGGGACATGTAATAAGGTATATCACTCCTACAGTATTGCAGTTCATTTCTGTGTTAATTCTATATTCTTTCTGGTCATTGGATGAGATAAATCCAGTGCTTTTTATTTTTGCTTTAGGATTATTCCGACATCCGATACACTTCTGACATCTTGTAAAACATTTTTGATTTTCTGGTGTTTTCTTAGTGTTTTCGGATTTGATAGTAGGAGCCAACATCAACTTAAGATTAGGGGCTCTTGTGAATATCATTTTGGGCTTATCTTCCATAAATTGTGATATAGTGGAATCACTTGTTAGTATGCCCCAATGTTTCCTAAGTATTTTTTGTATCACCTGTGATTGATTGCTATATTTCGTGATAAAAGCTGGGGTATTGTTGTTGGATTTATCTACCTTGATCTTGTTGCAAAGTGTTTCTTCTCGTGGTACCTTAAGAGTTTTTTCTATAGCTTCCCCCAATAAATCTATGGGGTATCCCTTCGTAATGAATCTTTCTTTCATCTCCTCCATCTGTACTTTACATATTTCAAATTCCGAACAATTCCGTCTGATTCTTCTAAATTGATTTTGAGGTATACTTCTCAGCCATATGGGTCTGTGGTGGCTGTTATAGGGAATGAAGCTGATTCTCGATAGAAGACTTCAAGTCACCAGAAATAAGAAGAAAGCGAACACTAAGAGACATAGAGGAAGGAACAGAAGAAGAAGATCAGTTAATACAGAAAAGGAGGAAATAAATATTTTTAACTTATCCGATAGAATCCTAAACATAGATGAACTGTCACTACTTAAGAAAGGTTTAAAATTTGCACCGGTTGCCAAGAATTCAACTTTTGATGCTTTCATTGATTTACATAAGTTTATACGGAAAATCTGTGTTAAGAAATTCTTTACTGAAAAAGAGATAATACCACAGGAAAGAGAACAGAGGTACACACAGACGGAACTACATCCTAGATCTACATTTTATCCCCAATATGTGAAAAATGACTGCATCAGGACCTTTGAAAAAATGGTTGAAAGGGATTTTAGGACAAAACTAAAGAACAATATGAAGAAGGACAATTTAAGTAAAAGAGAAAGAAAGAGCCTTAAAGAACTTATGAAATTGGAGGACATTACCATCAAACCGGCAGACAAAGGAGGTGGGGTGGTTATCCTCAATACCAAGAACTATATAGAAGAGAATCTTAGATTATTAGGAGACATTGACACATACCAATTACTAGATAAGGATCCAACCTCTGAATATATGGATAAACTCAAAGAAATACTTGATTTTGGCAAAGAAAGAGGAATTATAAACGAGAGAGAATTCAAATACTTAGGGGTGAGATTCCCAAGAATTCCGGTATTCTATCACTTACCTAAGATACATAAAACATTACAGAATCCGCCAGGAAGACCGATCGTCTCTGGGATTGGATCCCTAACAGCCAATTTGTCAGAATATGTTGACCAATATTTGCAGAATTTAGTGGTTTGTCTGAAATCATACCTGAAAGATTCTACTCAAATCCTTAATATACTTTCAGATCTAAAATGGGAAAAAGATATGATTCTAGTTACAGCTGACGTTACATCATTATATACCGTTATTGAGCATTTGCAAGGCTGTGAAGCCATCCAATATTCTCTGGCCACATATTCTGATTTGAAGAATGACCAAATAGATTTTCTTGTGGCATGTATAGCCTTCATTCTGACACACAATTATTTCTGGGCTGAAGGTAACTATTATTTGCAAATAGAAGGTACCGCCATGGGGACACGTTTTGCGCCAAGCTATGCCAATCTCTTTATGGGCAAATGGGAGGACGAGTTTATATGGGACCATTGCCCTTTTGGCGCAAAACTGTCCCTATGGCGGAGATACATCGATGACTGTATTTTTATATGGAAAGGGGATCTTGACTCTTTGGAAGAATTCAAGATCTACCTGAATAACAATCCATACCATCTTAAGTTTACCTTCACCCAGTCCAGAGAACATGTGGAGTTTCTTGATCTCGATATATATACAGAAGAAGATAAAATACAAACCAAGACCTTCAAAAAGAATGTTGACTGTAACAGCTTCATTCCCTATAACAGCCACCACAGACCCATATGGCTGAGAAGTATACCTCAAAATCAATTTAGAAGAATCAGACGGAATTGTTCGGAATTTGAAATATGTAAAGTACAGATGGAGGAGATGAAAGAAAGATTCATTACGAAGGGATACCCCATAGATTTATTGGGGGAAGCTATAGAAAAAACTCTTAAGGTACCACGAGAAGAA